ATATATATATATATATAAATTTATCACTTTAATAAGTTGCATTTTTAACATATATTTTGTTATTAACATATATTTGATTACAATTACAGTAAAAAATACTGTAGTGAAATATTATTACAATTTAAAATAACTTTTTCAATTTTAGTATATTTTAAAATGTAATTTATTCTTGCTTGTGATGCCTGAATTTTCAGCATCCATTTCTCCAGTCTTCAGTGTCACATGAGCCTTCAGAAATCATTCTAATATGCTGATTTGGAGCTGAAGAAACATTTCTTATTTCATGTTGAAAACAGTTGTGCTGCTTAATATTTATGTGGAATACAATAATACATTTGTCAGAATTCTTTGATGGGTAGAAAGTTCAAAAGAACAGTATTTATTTGAAATATATAAATTTATATAAAAGTATATAAATTGAAATACACAAGTTTCTTTACTGTCACTAATTAATTTAATGCATCCTTGCTGAATAAGATGTATTAATAGTGTTAATTTCTTAAACAAAAAATCTTACTGAACAGTAGTGTACATTTTGTTTAGTAGTCTGTGCTATTTTTCCTTACGTGTTAAATGTACGTGTTTGTAGATGCTGACGCTGAGCCATTGTTTAGCTTACGTCTCATTTCTGTCTGTATTTCAGGGTGAGCCCCATGTCATCCAGCCAGGTGCGCAGCAGCGATGCATATGTGCTGTTCTACGAATCTGCGACCTCTTCACGCTTGTGATTACGCCTGAAACGGACAAGCCTTGGATAAAATAATCCCTTTTGCTGTTGTTGAACTAAATCATGGTCAGGGTCTACATGCTTGCAGGACCATGGAACTTTATCCCAGGCCTTTTAACCAAGGCCAAACACATACTGGAACTGAATTATGGCCGTGGCCTATGAAGTGGAATGAAGCCTGGGATGAAAGTTTAACCCAAGCCCAGATTGAGCTTCACAGTAAGGGCTCCTCCATCCATCACTCCCCCTTTGAAAGAGGCTGCTGCACTGGGGATGGATTTAACAAACTGAAACGGACAAAGACAGAGGAACATGAACTACTACCTCTCTTGAATGAGCAGGACTGTGTGCGTGTGTATTTGTGTGTGTACGAGTCAGTCTCCAGACTGATACTGTAGGACTCTATGCACTGTGTAACTGGAGCCGTCCGGCTCTACAGACAGTCACCACAACTCAAACAATCCCCATCCCTTATTTAATTTATTAACATGAGTTCAATGTTTTACTTAATTTCAAGCTAATTGCTACAAATTTAAATAAGAGGTCATCTTGCTGAGGGACCATGTAGGTCAACTGTGTAAATGATGCTTGGATTGCTCAGTGGATTGTTTACTATTTCGAACAGATATGCTCCTTCAAGATAAGTCTCCGCTTTGCTTGATTTGCTGATTTTCAACAGAATATGCACATGGGAAGGGCTTGGTTTTATGCTAATGCATGACTGTGCCGCTTCCAAAAAACCCTCACCATTACAGAGAAGATTGTATGACTGCCCCCTTGTGGCTGGAAGTTGTAAAACCCAAACGAAAAATTGGACCTTTTTCACATACCACCAGAATGATAGGTTTCCACCTTTTTTTTTTTACATCATGAATCTAGCAAAGAGGATGATTCTAATATAACGGCTGAGCGAGTGACAACAAACATCTTTCTCTTTTCTGACCAACAATCTCTTTTTTTTCTCCTTTGGAAAGTCATAGAAGTGGTATCATGCATTATTTCTTTGCAGTTGGAGCAAATTGGAAAATAAAAAATATACTTGTTGCATTTTCTTATTCAGAGCATACCAAACTATGGCTTCTGACATGTGAAAAGGGTCCATCTCCAGGAGAATATAAAGTATTCCCTCTTTAGGTGTTTGTGGAATTAATATTTTCCTCCAGGGGCAATATATTTGAAAGAGGCCTTATGTTTTTCTCATTCTGTCAGGGACTACAATATTCAGTTTAATTTGGGGATGAGTCTTTATCAAATAAGAAACCACCAGGAGGGTTATGTATGTATGTGTGTGTGCACCTTTATGTATTATTTCTCTATTTATGATGTGAATGTTGTGAATGTAGCTTATCGTTGTGCTTGAACCAGGCAATGTTTTTTCTACAGAGAGATTTTAAGTGAGTGGTAATTATTTTGTGTCTGAAATGTGACTGTAGTGTACCACATATCAAGAGCTCTTGGCTTTTTAAAAGAAGTGAATATGAATAAAAGCAAATGTCTACAGAAGTAATTGTGAATTGTCTGCATTACTACATTAGAGTGTATGTATGTAGTGATTATGAACTCTCTCTCTCTCTCTCTCTCTCTCTCTCTCTCTCTATATATATATATATATATACACACCTGTCCTGTACACCTATTTATTTCACATAGATGCTGTTCTTTCTATTTAAGAATTCTCAAAGATTCTACAAAATATTAAGCAGCACAACTGTTTCTTGAGCACCAAATCAGTCAGTTAGAATGATTTCTGAATGATCATGTGATACCAAAGACTGGAGTAATGACTGTAGAATGAGCTGAATGAAAATTCAGCTGTAACATCACAGTAATAAATTAAGAGTTTTTTATTTATTATTATGATTATTTTTATTATTATATTTATATTAAATGGCTAAATATAGCTCATTTCCATGCTCTACCAGTGTACGGTCACTAGAGGGTGACATTAGTCCTCTCTTCTTCACTTACACACTAATACTCCTGGTCACCACCCTCCTCACAATGACCTGTAAGTGGAGAAACTCACATCTTACTTATTGTGGCACTGAGCTTATTAGTGCCACAGGTCATTAGTGTGTGTGTGTGAGAGGGAGAGAGTCATGAAGCAGTCAGAGAAGCTCTCAGTAGAAGCAATTAATAGGCTAAATCTTTATTGGAATATACCTATAAATAAAGGAGGACCTCAAATCCCTGTATATACATTGTACATGCAGGTATATGTTTCTCAGTCACAAACTTAAAATGTAATGTCCTTAGACAGTACCTTTGTGTGTGTGTGTGTGTGTGTCTGTGTGTGTGCTCTTAGTGCCTTTGCAGATTCGGTTTCCAGGCTAAGACAGATGATCTGTTTGAGAAGAACTCAATTTGTGAGAAGGAGAGAATTATCTCACTTCCACTGGCTGACTGTGCCACTAGTAACTCAAGCCTGCTTTCAGCGGTAGTAACAAACTGCTCTTACCCAACTGCCCTTTCCTTAACCCATACACTTAAAACATACTCTTTAATCTCTGATCTTGACACCGTCAGTCCAGACTAACGTTTACACATCAATCAGAGAGGTCTTGTAACATTGACTAGAGCAAATATCATACAGGGCGGTGTTGATTAATTATGCCCTTAATTATGCCATAGAGTCATATACAAACATTTAAAAGAAAATGATAAAATAGTAGCCTACATATACTCATTTCTTAGTATTTGGACACTTTCTGGTTGCCAAATCTTGGTGAATCAGGATCATACTTAATGTGATTATCTACACCTGATTACTCTGACACCTGTATAAACTTGAGGAGAACTTCATACATAGTTGGTTACCCCTCACATTGTGTTCCTGGAGAGGGTTTTCTTTCTTTTTTTTCTTTTTTTTGTAACACCTTCTCAATTTTTATTATTTTTTTCCACTTTTTCCCCACATTGATACACTTGTTTAGCCAATTGAGGACTATCTCTGTCTGTATCTTCCTGTTCATTCAGAGATGCACAGCATGTGGGATTAAACTGGATAGTGTTTATAAAGCAGTTGCTGGAGGGAGGGATAAATATTTGATGTGCTGTTCTGTTTGGATGGCGAGAGAGATAGAGAGCTCTTTCACCTGCTGTGTGACTGTATCTTTCTGCCTTCTGTGTGCTGGGTGTGCTATCAGTTCGTTCTAAGATTAACTCATAAATGCTGTGGTTATATACACAAACACACATATAACAACCAGTGCTTTGTGGTTTCCCAGAACACAGTATCGCTTCTGTTTACATAAAGAAAATACAGGCATATCATAAATGTACACCATAGGACGTTCATGCCAACTCATCGCTGCTCATGGCCATGTCATAAAATAATAACTTTGCAAAAACAGAGACAATATGTAGATTATTATTAATGAGAAATACAGTAGTTCAAAGTGAAGACAAGGTGTAGTTTTTTTGAAATAGCACAAATATAAAACAAAATCACAACAACTCGAAATGAAAAAAAAAAACCTGTTGAAAAGAAGTATTGTGACCCTTTGCGGATGTCAAACATTAGTGGATCTTGTTCATAGTTAAAGGGATAGTTCACCCAAAAATGAAAATTTGATGTTTATCTGCTTACCCCCAGGGCATCCAAGATGTAGGTGACTTTGTTTCTTCAGTAGAACACATATGATGATTTTTAACTTTAACCGTTGCAGTCTATCAGTCGTATAATGCATGGCAATGGTAACAAAATCTATGAGAGTAAAAAAAACATGCACAGACAAATCCAAATTAAACCCTGCGGCTCGTGACGACACATTGATGTCCTAAGACACTAAACGATCGGTTTGTGCCAGAAACCGAACAGTATTTATATCATTTTTTACCTCTAATACACCACAACTGTCTTTGGGCGCGTGCACGGCGTCCGGTGCGTGAGGTGTGTACGCGCTCTGGCGTAGTTTACGTTAATGGGTGTGTTGATATCCAGCCGAAGAGCAATCAACCATAACCAGTTTGATTAGCCGTCGTACCTACAATGACTGTGCACGGTGTAAACTGATCTACACCTGTGAACTAGAGGAGAAATGACTTCACTCATGTCAAAAATGGCTCAGAAAAGAGAGTTACCTCTGAGAAAAACTCCCATTGTCCATCAACATGTTCATGTCAGAGCTATATTATTATGATTTTTGTACCATTTTGTCAGTTGACACAGAGCTACATAAAAAAGCAAATGTTGCAAAAAAAAAATCATATGATTATGGTATGATGAAATACAGTGGGTTCAGCTAGCGTCAAATTAGCCACCCAGTTTGCCAGTGTACTTCAGTCCAGCAAATATCCCTCCACCTAGACAGAGCAAGAAATATTACGTTTACAGTTCGAATTTTTATAATTTAAATGTTGACAATGCAATAAGTAGTTTGATTACAGGTATTTTATTAGTTTGTAGTTATTAATAGATCTGGCATATCTGCTTTCCATCTGCTATATATTTGCTATTACATAATATTGGCGTTACATAATATAAAGTACAAAATTATATGTCATGTTTGTGTACATTAGCCCTGAAATATTAAACTAGGTGTTTTTCCCTCCCAAACGGTAACCATGAGGCAAACCAAACCAAACAGTAGGTAAAGCTACTGGTTCCCTATATGACTTTGTTTGGTAGTTCAGCAATACAGTTTTACTGAAACATTTTCAAACAACGGTTCTGTTTATAATGTTTAGAATTAATAAAGAGGACTTTATTGTGGTTTAAAAAGTTTGAAAAAAATTTTTGTACCTAAAGTTTTTTGCTGCTGTTTATTACAGTGATTGATCCAAACTCACTCAGAGAAGGGGACTATTTGAATTTTAATCAGTAAATAAACTGTAGATAAGAAATTCAAGATAATTAGAGTGGGATTTTATTAACTCAAACTGTTTTTAAAGTCATATGTGTGTTTTTATTATATTAATAGATAACAGACATCTTGAAGTACAGCTCTACTCATATGCAGTATATTTTTGCATATATAAAAATTGCCTTAGTCTCAAATCTCACTCAAATTTTGAATAAAGTAATGAACTACTGGGATTTCTGAAGGTATTCATGAAATTTTAGATAAGAACACATGCATACAGAGCATGAATATTAACTCTCTCAATATAGGTATGATTCACATGCAGTATGAGCTTAAACCGAGAATCGTGTTCTTTAATGGATTTCAAAAGGACAGTCTCTCATTTTAAGTCCCAAATCTATTGTTGCATTTAGGAGAATGGATTTAAAATCGTACACAGACATAGTGCATAAATAAATTAGAAAGTGTTAAATGCAAACATTCATTAACCACGTACCCAGAGCTGCCACCCCAGCGATGGATCCTACAGCTATACCTGCGATCTGGCCTGATGTTAAACCTTGCGGTTCTTCAGAAGGTTCACTGACAGAGCTGTTGGGCTGATCCGGTGAAGTGGCCAGGGTGTCCATGGATGTGGATGAAGAAGACAGGCTTGTGTGTGTAGAGTCAGACTCAGTGCTCATAGACGTCTTTACCGTTGTTTCAGTCAACTGCTCATCAGTAGTACTACTGTTTGTACTGAAGACCACTGAAAAAAACAAGGAACAACCAAGAGTTCTACTGTATATAGTACATACTATCAGCTGACTGTGTTGCTCAATTTAGTGTCTCAATTAATACACTTACAATCAGTGTTGGGGGGTTACGCATTACAAGTAACGCGAGTTACGTAATCAGATTACTTTTTTTCAAGTAACTAGTAAAGTAACGCATTACTTTTTAATTTACAAGAGAATATTTGAGTTACTTTTTCAAATAAGTAACGCAAGTTACTTTTTTTTTTCAATTTATTGATTGACAGCTCTCCTGTCCCCATGTTGAGAGAAATCAGAAGATGTTACTGTAGTTCAAAATAAATATGAATATGCATTAATTAATCTCACTCACAAAAAAAA